GGATGTTATATGATAGTAGTGGATAATACAAAAGTAAATGAAACATTATGAACCAATGATAATTATCATAACAGTAGCTCCACAATGTATTTGGATGTTATATGATAGTAGTGGATAATACAAAAGTAAATGAAACATTATGAACCAATGATAATTATCATAACATCAGCTCTGTAGCTCTGGAAAATTAAAAGAATGATTATAAGCTAATTAGTGATAATGGAAACTGCAACAACTTCACGAAACATTACTGTAAAGTAGAATTGTGTTGATTGAATGGTACCCAGTTCTTAATAATGAATGTATCAGTTATTTAGTACAATATATATATAAACTTTTAAAAGTTTTTTTCAATCAATAAGTATCAAGTGTGGATTAGATTTTATGTATCAGTTAGTCAAAGTGAAAAATGTATGTGAAACCTTTTACAACTTTTCAAATCAATGAAAGCCGAGTCTGGATTGGATTACATGTATCATCTACTACTCAGAGACGGCCCGGCATGGCCAGGTGGTTAGGGCGCTCGACTCGCAATCTGCGGGTCGCGGGTTCAAATCCCCTTCACACCAAACATGCTCGCCCTTTCAGCCGTGGGAGCGTTATAATGTGATGCTCACTCCCACTATTCGTTGGTAAAAGAGTAGCCCAAGAGTTGGCGGTGGGTGGTGATGACTAGCTGCTTTCCCTCTATCTGCCTTACACTGTTAAACAAACAAACAATACCACTCAGACTAAAAACTTGAAATAGTGTGGAAATCTAGTATAGTACAAAAATAGTAGTACAATTTTAACACATTTTATTATTTTGGTCAAAACCTCAAGTTGCATATTTGTTGGGAAAATGAAATTTTATCAAATATAAAATACAAAATCGCGCTATAAACTGCTTGAGAATGAAACCTCTAGAATATTCAAGAACAGGTTTATACATGAAGTGTCTTGCTATAAAGTGCTTGAGAATGAAACCTCTAGAATATTCAAGAACAGGTTTACACATTAAGTGTCTTGCTACAGTGTTCGAGAATAAATCCACTGGAATATATAAGAACAGGTTTACATGTAAAGTGTCTTGCTATAAAGTGCTTGAGAATGAAACCTCTAGAATATACATGAACAGGTTTACACATGAAGTGTCTTGCTATAAAGCGCTTGATAAATAAATCCACTAGAATATAGTGACAGTAATCGGGAACAGTTAGTGATACAACGTTTATATTTCTTGATAATGATAAAGTTTATTGCAGGTATTAGTTTGCTAACTATCTGTAACGTGACGTTACTCTCGAGACCCGTTTAATATTGATAATTATCAATTCGAGTAATCTTTTTAATTAGGTTTGTATTTCTTCCCCCGCCTAATTCGTTATTGTATTGTGTAATTTGGTTTTGAGGACTTTGCTGTTTTTTTTCATTGGGTATTTCCGTGTTTGAACCATCAAGTTATAAAAGGTCTTGGCCAGGCACTAATTCACTTATTTCTGGAACTTTTATAGCTCGTATTGTAATTAATACATTTATTTGTTATTTGTCTTACCTTAAAAGTGGTTACAAAACTATCGTTTTGTTTGATAATCGATAGTTACTTATTTATCCTTTGCAGTGATCAAGAAAGATGCCCAAGAAATTTTATTTTGTTCATTTAATAAATTTCTGTTACACATATAGCACCTAAAATGATAATATTTCAAATCAAACCGCCGGCGTTTTTTTTTGTAGCGAGAATAAAGTCTGAAACATATAAATTATTTTATCATGTTCCAAAGTATCGAAGAAGAGAAAAATATAGCCGAGTTGTGTATATATATGTGAATGGAATAAACATAATCTAACAAAAACAGGAAAGAGAAAAACCTGAAGATAGATAGCACATGATAGTAGAACACGTGAATAGGCAAAATTCTGTTGGTTTTTTTTTCTTTTTTTAATTTGTCTAACCTTGTTTGCCTGAGTTGCTTCCCGTACATAGTGTTTGAGCAAGGGGAACCTGATGGTTTGAGTTAACACTTAAATATAAAACAAATACTTTAAGTGCGGCTTGCGCGCTCTATAGTGTGGGCGAGAAACTGTTGGGCTACAAAATGCGAAATATGGTAGCTTGGAAAGTTTCAAAATACTTTTTTTTTTATCTAATGCTCTATACCAAGAACAGTTCTTATACTAGCGTCAGCCCCAATGAATAAGTTACTAAGTTGTAAAGTCCACAACACTGTTTGCTCACTCACTTGAAATCGGTTATAACTTATACTGGAGAAGAAAAGTGAACTTTTAGCATAAGTAAAAATCTTTCGAGGTCAGTTAGCTCGTTTACACAGAAGAAGAAACCGACCTTAGGTCAATAGAAAGTAAACATTTACAGTTACGCAACTTTAGTCAATAGAAGCAAACACGCTCCCCAGTGGCACAGCGGTATGTCTGAGGACTTACAACACTATAATCTGGGTTTCGATACCCGTGGTGGGCAAAGAACACAGATAGCCCATTGTGTAGCTTTGTGCTTAATTACAAACAAACAATATTCGTGGCTCCCCAGTGGCACAGCGGTATGTCTGAGGACGTACAACACTATAATCTGGGTTTCGATACCCGTGGTGGGCAAAGAACACAGATAGCCCATTGTGTAGCTTTGTGCTTAATTACAAACAAACAATATTCGTGGCTCTCCAGTGGCACAGCAGTATGTCTGAGGACTTACAACACTATAATCCGGGTTTTGATACCCGTGGTGGGTAGAGCACAGATAGCCCATTGTGTTGCTTTGTGCTTAATTACAAAACAAACAGAAACAAACATTTACATAAGTTTAGTTTTTGTTTTCAGTTGTGCGCCATATTTCTGTTCTATATTTTTTATTTTTCTGTACTAAACGTGTTGTCTTTTTATTGTTCTGAGCCAAAGTTTCTTCTAAGATGATATTACAGTTTTAAGAAAGTGTTTTAAACTAAGCAACAATACTGAAATAAGTTGTTTTTGAAGAAGCTACGTTTCATCTCTATTGATGTTTGTTCTTAACAGAATAGTGTATGGAGGAAACCAAAATGGCCGGCACAAGTTTAGCTATACAGTTGTTTGCGTTTATCAGACACGTGACTATTCTAATGGCAAACAGACAGTTGTTTGCGTTTATCAGACACGAGACTATTCTAATGGTAAACAGACAATTGTTTGCGTTTATCAGACACGTGACTATTCTCTAATGGTAAGCAGACAAATGTTTGGATTTATCAGATACGTGACTATTCTAATGGTAAGCAGACAAATGTTTGGATTTATCAGACACGTGACTATTCTAATGGTAAGCAGACAAATGTTTGCGTTTATCAGACACGTGACTATTCTAATGGTAAACAGACAAATGTTATTTACCATTAGAATAGTCACGTGTCTGATAAACGCTGATAAACCCAAACATCTTTCTGCTTATCATTAGAGTAATCGCGTGTCTGATAAACGCAAACATTTGTCTGGGCACGCGATTACTCTAATGATAAGCCAAAAGATGTTTGGGTTTATCAGATACGTGACTATTCTAATGGTAAACAGACTAATGTTTGCGTTTATCAGACACGTGACTACTCTAATGGTAATCGTTGTGGTTTTAGGTTAGCTGGTCTGGTTGAATTTTGTAAAAAAGAAAGAAAAAATGTTTTTGACAAAATAATTTTTCAGCTAGAAATTAGAAAAACATACTTTGACAATAGATATATCACTGCAAGAATATATAGCGAAGTAAAAATTCCAAACAAAGCTAAATAGAACCCCTATTTGTAATATTAACCTATACATTTATCAGAACACGAATTTCTGACAAGAATAGTGTAAAAAGAAAGAACGCGACCTTTGAACTAGCATGTGGGCCCTAGCGACGAAAACCCCCAGATTGGCGCAACTAATGATCCAAGTTTCTAGTCATCCAGAAAGGCGCCATGTGGACCTGACCCACAGATTTTGATCTTCCAGACATTTAGTTGGGCTTAAACTTATTTCTAGGAAAGTGTCAACTTGTGTTAGCCCTAACGGGCATGACAGGACCTGCCTCCTGAAATGTGATCTACTCTATGCAATGCATGAAAACAACAGCGCCAACGCCACGCTCGTGTCGCATAAAGTTGAATAACTTCTGTAGAGTTTTAGGAAATGGTTCTCAGTTTACACGTAAAAAAAAAATCATTGGAGATTTAGGCTCATTGCAGAGTTTCTTTGTTTTGTTTTTTAAAGAGAACATAGTCATACCAAGGTCACCGATGGATGGTTCTCGATCTTCTAAACATAAAGACTATACGTTTTTGTTTCTTAATAATCCAACATCATTAGCTTCACTTAAAGTGTTTGTTTATTATCGTCGTGTTTGACGTCATTTGTTCTCTACCGCTTGTTATATACGTTTTATTTATAAGCCCACTCTTTATTATTTAACACACCCTACTTTGCGTCCGAGTCAGCTATTATAAGTGTTTATCTTGTATACGAATAATTGAGATTTTTTTTTAACACATCCGGATCATGAGATGAAGTATTAACACCATATAAATCAAACAAACGACGGATAGATAGATGCACGTGGACTCTTCTTACAAAAACCCAATTTAACGAAGTTAAACAAATGCATTCATATCCGTGTGTGCCAAGTACGCGCTATATTACTTCATAAAGTGATTTTTCCATGAACTTGTACCGAGAATGATATTCATTATAAAAAACTAATAAGTCTAAATGGTTGTAATTAATTGAACTTTTATGTAGAGGTATTAAGGAAATGTAAGATATATCATGACAGCCACGCATGCTCAATGTGCGATGAAGGGTAGTTAAGAGCCGACTTCCTGTACCAATTAAAGTAATAGCGTTTAATCAAGCTCGCACACATTACCCCAAAACACACGCAGATATAAATGTAGTTTCGAATTAGTTCTGTAGTGTGGAAAAAGATGGCGCTGAAGATCAGTTGCTTTATAAGATTTTCACACAAACGTTTATCTCGTTTTTTTTCCTCACAACCTTTGTCTAAAATTGAACACTGTTGTTCCTTTTTAAGATCAAATGTTTAATCCAATTCATAATCAGCGATTGAAGCTCGTGTTCTGTGCTTTTATTTCCATGTTCGCGGTTGAAGATGTAGTGGTAGTGCGCTCTTCTTCTGGTTAAAAGTTGATTTTCTTAGTTAATTGCAAGATACTCTAGCGTTCTAAGGAGGAATTCTTCCCGGGAATGGAAAATGGCACGGAATAAACCTGGAAGTAGGCGGGAACGGAGGATGGCACGGAATAAAACTGGAAGTAGGCGGGAAGGAGGATGGCACGGAATAAAACTTGAAGTAGGCGGGAACGGAGGATTGCATGGAATAAAACTGGAGGTAGGCGGGAATGGAGGATGGCACGGAATAAAACTGGAGGTAAGCAGGAATGGAGGATAGCACGGAATAAAACTGGAGGTAGGAACAACATTACATTCGTTTAGACAGTGGTTATTAAGACTACTGATGTTGTAGGTTTTAGCGTTAAAATATTCGACTACAGAGCCCTCTAGTGGTTGATACAATTCATCCCTGGTTAAACCTCGGGGACGTAAACTGAAATGCCATCAGTGAGGTGTTCAAGGCACGCTGTCTTTATAAGTTGAAGAGTCCTTTTAATCTAGGCTGTTCTAAGTTTGTCGAATGAGTAAAGTTTTGTGGCTGTGTTTATTAGGTTTTTAAGTATGTTGAGTGTTCGTTTTGTTTCATCTGCCGAGTTACAGGGAATGTAGAGTCTAGTATGGGTGATTTTCCTGTGGACTTGTGTTTTGAACTGCGTATCTTTTCTTGTGATATTGACATTCAGAAATGTTAGTTGATGATCTTTTTCGTATTCAATGATGAACTAAATATTTGTGTATAAGGAGTTGATATGGTTGAAAAAAGCTAAGTGTTTGTTCTATAGATGTGAATCACTTCTAATACAATAAATTAAACCCACATTAAACCAGATTCAGGAAACACTTTTATTTTTCATTAAACCAGCACCAGGGAACACTTTTTTTTTCATTAAACGTGTTCACATATGATATTACATTGTTGATAACCAATGTAATAATACAATTCAATATATACAACGCCCCTACAATCTTATACCTATCATTATTGTCGTCACACGACACGTGATCAATAACGGTCACTTTTTTTAAAAGTAATTCTTAACCTGGTGATGACCTAAGCAGGTCAAAACGTTCTTACGTTGTTTTTTTAATCAAAGTTTTTAATACCCATATCAATCGTTTGTACTATATATTTAGAGGTAAGTATACCCTGGTTATTAAAGGCATGGGGAAGAGGGTTTATTATTGTTTTCAACAATAATACACGGTAATAAAACGTCCAGGATAGGACTGTGACTAAATTTTTTTTGTGGGAGCACAGACATGACTGTAACTAAATCTTTTTGTGGGAGCACAGACAGGACTGTAACTAAATCTTTTTGGTGGGAGCACAGACAGGACTGTAACTAAAT